GGCTCTCTGGCCTCTATAGTTGAGTTCAATGCCAGTACTCGTCGGGTGCAGTGACTCGTACTCATACGACTTGAACGGCATGTCGTCTCTGGTGGCCGAAAGTGAACGATAGATACGAGAATCGGATCCATTCTTCGACTTATATCGGCCACGCCTTCGGCGGACGGGCGACGAGTAGACGTCAAAGAGATCCTGCAAATCGGTTTCGGACCGACGGTAAAAATCCTTATCCCTATCCCTCAGATTCATGAGTCGGTGCTTCTCTTCGGTCGCTGTCTTCAACTCTTCCCATAACTGTTGCTTCAAATTCTTCATATATGAGGGAAATCTTGTGGGAGACGTGAGGGACGACACGGAGTGAGAGGTATGCAATTGACGGCTGATCTGATTCTCGCCGGGAGGTATCGGCGATCGGGCCGGCGATCGGATGTTACCGATGGAACTCTTGAACACCGATTGGCCGTAAGTGGAGGCCAGAAATTGGGTGATGTCCGACGTGGACGAGAAGGGCGACTGCGGCCGATACCCAGCCGTCAGTCCCATAACGGTTCCGTCCAATGAAGACGACGAACGCAGCGGAGGAATGCGTTTCGACGCTATCGATGTCGAGGAGATGGCCGGTCGACCTGTCGTGGTATACATATGTATGTTATAATTAAAGTGTTATGTAAATTAATTATACAAATGAAGGGACAACTGACCGGCGAGTCTATCTTTGATCAGTTTTCTGGTGGCCATCACCGGAGAGATGGGTTCCTCATCGAAGGGAACTGATGGCAGTTTCCGTCGCTTCCCTTTATCGCCGGACGCGTCGCTCTGGGAGTCGGAAAAGTCGCCGCCAGTTGTGACGGGTGTGTGGGAGCGGACCACAGACTGGGCTAAAGCATAGGGCGATTGACTGATGCGGTCGTAGATGGATGTCGAAGGCATGATTGCAGATGAGACCAGTGTTGTGATGGCACTCGTCGGCACAGTTGCCGTCGATAGGTTTGTTCGTCTTGTGCTCGGATTGAGAATTGTCTGCAAATAGTAATAATACCATTTATCACATATCAATTCATTTTTATTATTGGTATTACAATTTTCAATTTAATAAAATTATCATTGAATAAATAGTTTATCATAAAATGAATAACATATTTTTAATCTAGATTAAATTTTAACTGTAATAGAAATTGTGTCTATTATAGTAAACATTAATTTTACAACGAGTGAAATGAATTGAATGTTTAAATTATTTCTGATTGTATTAAATTAATGATAAATACAGACCTGGGATGAGATAACACTGGACTGTGTTTTGCGAGGCATAATGGGTGATACGGATCGTTGAGTGGACACAACCGGCATTGGCATTGACTGCTGCGGAACAGTAGGTACCGATCGGTGTTGTTGTGAACCGCTGTGAGCGGCGGCGGCCAGCGTCTGGACCGCCGTTTGCATCTCTTCGGTGGTCGGATGCGGTAATCGGCGGTGCAATGACTTTCTTTGGGCGGCGATGGGACCGATGCCGGTGCCGCTGCTCTGTCCCGCGAGTTCCGGATTCTTCACCCCAACCGCCGCCCCGTCTGTGCCCATCTGTTTGTTTGCTGTGGATGTGGGCGTCGACGACATGGATGGTGGTGTGGAAGTGGACACATTTTTGTCTTGTTTCATGACTTCGGGTTTACTGGGAAGCGGGTGTTGTGGTAACGGATGCTGTGGCACCTGTGGTTGTTGTTGCAGTATTTGGTGTTGTTGTTGCTGAAGCTGAGCCGGCGGTGCTATGGGTTGACTGACCACCGGTTCCTGTTTCTGGATCAGCTGCTTCTGGTGCTGCTGTTTGTCGGCCTCCTGTTGCTGTCTAATAGACAACTGTTCTGTCATCTGTTTTTGGAGCTTTTGCTGCTCGATCTGTATCTGAAGGAACTGTTGCTGTTGTTGGATAAGTATCTGTTGTTGTTGTAGCTGTTGCTCCACTTGAGGGCTGACCGGTCCCTGACTGGTCATCACTGACTGCGGATTGAGCTGCAGTTGCAATGGTATTGTCGACTGATTGGGTCCCGAAGCCATCACAATGATTGGCTGCTGTCCCGAAGTGGCCTCAATGGTCGCCTTCTGGACGCCTGACTGCGCTCTGGAAGTAGTCTTTTGTTGAGAAATACTTTGTTGTTGTTGTTGTTGTCTTTGCGGTTGACTTCTAGACCTAATTTCCTGTTGTTTGAGATCTGATATGAGGTGATAGTGTTCTTCGATCGGCGATTCCGTTCCCAACGCTTCCATCGCTTTGTTAAAGTCGGCGATCATTCCAGTGATGGTTCCGCTCGTCGCTCGAGGAATGTTTGTCGCATAGGATGTCAACTGTTGTGCAAAACAAATCATTTCATTAGAAATTAAAATTTAACTCTCAATTCATTGTATGATAATTGAAATGATAATACAATTACCGATTCATCTGACGACGAAGCGATTCTTTCCATAATCTCTTCTTCGGCGGCCTCTATAGAGGGCGAGACGTCGAGAATGGGCGACAAGTCTGTGGGCGGAGACCAGCACTCGGGCACGAATGGCGGCGTCTTCTTCGGCTGAACCATCTGTTGTGAGTATAACTGTTGTTGACTTTGAATTGTTTTGTGTTTCGGCGACGCATTGCTGGCCGACGGCGGCGATGAGGCCGACGAAGAGGTGGCCAACTGTTGGGTCACTGTATGCAACGGCACTGTCCGCGGAATGGGAGCGCCGACACCCGCACGACTCCGACCCGACGGAGAGCCCATTTCCGGGTGCTGTCGGCCCGAAGCCGATGCGGTCGACGGATAGTTTTGGTAGGCATCTGACGGCTGACTGAAGTCACCCCTCATCTGGTTCTGGGGCTGAAAGCGTTGGTACTCTTCTTGGCTATAGTTCTGCTGTTGCTGTGGTTTGGGTTGCCTTTGAGGCGACTGTTGTGAGTATTGTTGCGGTGAATACTGTTGTGAAGACTCGGATTCGTAACCAAATTTGCCGAAATCCTGGAACTGTTGTTCCGTATTCTTATTGGTCTGCGGCTGATATTGTTGTCGAATCTCATGCCGTAATTGATTCAACATTTGCTGTTTCATTGTATCCTGTTTTGGGTTTTGTAGCATTTGTTTCATGTTTTCTCTGATCGAGTCCTGTGTTTGAGGCCTTTGCGGATCGGTTCGCGGCGGCTCTTGCCGTACGTCCGGCCTATTGTCGGGCCTAAAGTCCTGTTGGGTTAGCATCTGTTGGTTCGCCATTTGTTGGTTCAAATTGTCTTGTCTTTGGGGCTGACTTTGTGGCAATTGTCGCCCACTTTCTCTCGCAATGTCTTGATTTGGTAACATGTGGTCATTTCTCAGGTCTTGTCTGAAGTCGAGTCTATTTTCAGGTCTAAACGGATCATGTGGTTGTTGTTGTAGCTGTGGTTGTTGTGGTAGTTGTTGTTGATTTACCATTTGTTGACTTAGCGTTTGTTGGTTTAAATTCTCCTGTCGTTGGCTTTGGTGTTGTGGCAGTTGTCGACTCATACCTTCCCTAACTATCTCTTGATTGTGTAATTTGTGATCACTTCTCAGATCATCCCTTAAGTCGGGCCTATTTTCTGGCCTGAATTCCTGTTGGCCTACCATTTGTTGGTTTAGCATCTGTTGGCTCATAATGTCCTGGCGTTGCGTTTGTGGCAATTGTCTCATACTATCGCTATTCATGTTTTGGTTTTGAAACATTTGATCACTTCGTAAGTCTTCTGTAAAGTCGAGCCTATTTTCTGGTCTAAATGGATCTTGTTGTTGATTTAAACCTTGTTGATTCAAACCTTGTTGGTTTAGACCTTGCTGGCTTAAACCTTGTTGATTTAAACCTTGTTGGTTTAACATTTGCTGGTTTGTCATTTGTTGGCTCAAATTATCCTGTCTTTGATTTTGTGGCAATTGTCTCATACCTTCTCTCATCATATCTTGATTTTGTAACATCTGATCACTCCTTATATCTTGCCTAAAGTCTTGTTGATAATCAATTGGTCTAAACTCTTGTGGATTCACCATTTGCTGAGCTATCATCTGTTGGTTTAGGCTGTCTTGTCGTTGATTTTGGGGCAATTGTCTCATACTTTCATTATTCAAATTTGGATTTTGTAAGTTGAGATCCATTCCGAAGTCTTGCCTTAAATCCGGTCTATTCTCTGGCCTAAACTCCTGTTGGTTTGGCATTTGTTGGTTCAACATGTGTTGGTTCAGACTGTCTTGTCTTAGATTCTGTTGCAATTGTCTCCTATTATTGATGTCTCTGTCCATCTCTTGTGATTGTAAACTTTGTTCACTTCTTAAGTCTTGTCTATAGTCTGACTGGTAGTCCAAAGGTCCAAAATCTTGGTTATTCATCAATTGTTGGTTTAAACTATCTTGCCTTTGATTTTGTTGCAATTGTCGCATACTTTCACTATTAATATCCTGATTTGGTGGTAACTTTTGATTACTTCTCACATCTTGCCTATTGTCCTGTCTTTTGTCTGCTCTCATATCTGGTCTAATATCTTGTCTCATGTCTTGTCTAACATCTTGTCTCGGATCCGGTCGTATTTCAGGCTTCTTATAATTCACACTAAAAGTCAAAATTGAAATTTTATATTATTATCATTTATATTGTGGTAAAGTTACATAAACTACATGTTATAGTGTAATACTATTTATATGCAAATTCATAAATTAGTGAATATTTATCATTTTCATTTGAAAACAATTACTTTAATTTGTTTTTTTTCCAACCAGGATGTTTTTAAAATACAATGTTCACTACATCGTAATGGTTGTGTAATCGTTGAATAACAAAAGCTAAGAATATTTACCCGATTGTGTTTACCAAGAATTCACGATTCAATGAATTTGTTTTTCTCAAACAATGCACACAAATGAAGAATATCTGTAGTTTTGCTTAAAAACAAACAGTTATTATAAGAAATCAATTACATGTCATTTTGACGGATCACTTTTCGTGAAAACATTATTATAATAAAAAATTATTATTTGTTTGTACAGTATTTAGTCATACATTTCGATTTAGGCTTATTTCTAAATAATTAAATTCATATAGAATTGTAGTGCAATGACTGTAAGTATTGTAAATCATTAAATCTGTTAATATTATTATGAATATTCAGTATACAGTATATTAATACATATTGTATTTGTCTCATTATATTGTAAATTAATGATTGAATTGAATGCGTTCATATATTGTATAGTATACACTGTATACTGTACAATATATGATAGTATCATATGATACAGTGTACTACAGTGCTAGCCATCGGGCGTCTTAAGCTCCGCCCATAAATATAACCAATCACAGCAAAGTAGACTCGCGATTTTGCATTGTGACACTCAAAGCGAACTCAAAACAGCGCATGTTTGAAGTTATATTTATGGGCGGAGCTTAAGACGGTCAGTGGCTAACGCTGTACAGTATACTATACAGTATACTATACAGTGTACAATATGCAGGTACTGTACTGTATATTTGTTTATTCTGTAATATGTGTACTGCATATTCTTTTGTGATTAAAAATAAGTTGGTAATTAGTAAAGCGTATAAAAAAAATTCAATTTGATTTTATTTGATTTTAAAATTTTATGGCGAGAAAGTAAGCAGGAAATTTTTAAACTATCCTAAATAAATATTTATCTTAAGTATATATTTTTGAAATATTGATATGCATGAGTGTTTCATTTTAAAAACAAATAAATAAATTGACAATCATTATTTAATTTTGTAACTAATTTTTAAATTGATTTTGAAATGTATGCAAATACAAACTTTCCATGATTACATATTTACTTAATAATTTATTTCATTTGTAAATAAACAATATTCTTGATTTATATACTTATTTATAATTAATATAACAGTTAAATATTACACATAAAAATTGTTAAATTATAAAAATAACTGATGATCATTTGATAGCAATAGTTATAAACTTTATATTTATAACCAATAAATAATGTAGGGTTGGAAAACAAATTACACAAAATACAACTCATAGAATATTCTACAAATAGTCACCAAAACATTTTATATGCTAAAAATTAATCATATTTGTTGTGCCATCAAAAACAACACAACATTTCATTTTTCTCGACAATGGTCTCTCCTCTTAACCTCTCGGTTATTATTCCTAATGTCTTATACTGTTATATATGAGGCAAACAGAGAAAAAACAAATTCAATTAACTTTTTTGTGGCACAAGATGTGGCCCCAAAAAAATCACAAGACATTACTTCAAGTGATCCGTCCATTTGTCAGACAAATACTGTTCAAAACATATACTGTACAGTAAATTGATCACAAAAAGTCGACTCAACTCATCGAAAATCATTGCATACAAAAAGTTAATTCATATTATTTTGTATTACATGTCTGTATAGCTGTATAGAAATGTATTGCTTAAATATATCGATAATTTTATGCAATGTTTTGCTTTTTAGTTGTTTACTCGTCTACTGAATGTCAATTGGATGGAAATTTTGTCGCTAGACTTTCCGATCGGTTCTCATAATTATGTTTAGTATTTTTTGGACGACAATTCATCATCAAAATTGAGTGTTTCATAAAATCGTGTCAGCCCTACGGTTATGCCCAATTGGGAATAACCATGGTATTCTATGGTTATAGAATGGATTATGCTGATTATATGGGAACAGTTGATATGACTGTTTATTGACGACTATACTGTCCGTGAGTTTGTAATCAAAATTTATGAGATTTTAAAATTCAAATAACCGATTCATCCGAATTGAGGTTAAACTTATCGTTTGCTTTCAATCCTTGTTTGTATCTCTACTTTGATCTCAAACTAATTCTAGACTCAATTCGTAATCATATTCTGTACACATTTCACAACAATTCACATAACAATTGTCTGATTGAGTGCTCACTTAGTTATGTCTTCTCTCTCTCTCTCTCTCTCTCTCTCTCTCTCTCTTATACAGTACTGTATAAATTCCATACAAAGTATACAACAAAATGTTATATATGTTTAGTATTTATATCACGTTTTGTATATTACAACAATTGAGGATATTTTGCACAAAAATTTACACCAAATATATTTTATTTGTTTGTGGTGATAAAGAATGGCCCATTATAATATTACTTTATATATTGTATGAATGTAAGATAATTGAGCAAAGTAAATTACTTTACTTAACCCTCCACGCGTATCGTTATATAGTCGACGTTACGTGTATCGTGGCCCCATAAATGGGCCAGCATATATCATGTATCGTGGCCAGAAAAAGGGCCAGCGTATAACGTGTATAGTGGCCCATAAATGGGCCAATGCATTATTTATTGTAATATTGTTATTTTGTGATTATTTCTATAACAAAAATTGTTATAACTTTTTAACTGCACTTATTTGAATAATTATGCTTTTACAAATAGTTAGTATAGATTATTACTTATAAAAAAATAGTATGTTAACCCATGCCATTGTTATACAAAAGGTACTTATAATGTTATTTCATTTTATATATCGATAGTATTTCAATCATTAGTTGCCATCAAATTCAATCAAATAATATGAAAATAAATTAACAATATGTTTAATATTTCTAAATCATTTATTTAAAAAATTACATTTATTCATTTTGTAGGTAATCTTTACCATCACATCCACTACAATAAACAACTGAACAATCTTTACATATTAATTGCGTACAATCTTCGCATTTTAGAGTACATTTTTTATTTGCATTTCGTGGACAAATATAACACCGACCACGCTTAGATGTATTAAGTTTGCGTTTTTTTGATGGACCAGACTCTATGGCTGTCACATTAACAACTGGTTGCTTAGTTATTTTCATAATAACTGTACGCAAATCACGACTAATTGTTTTAATTGTAAGTCTATTTGCCATCTCTTCATAACAAAGACTCTCGCCTAATGAGTGCAAAAACTCACGTCTAAACTTTGATTGAATAGGTTGAGGTGTTTTACTACTGTGAAAATGTTTATATATGATAAAACTGTTTACAGCCATAATGTCTAATATGCATAAAAATGCGGCAGTTGGCCAACGTTTTGTCGACCGGCCTGAAGTATATGTAGAACACAATTGATCGAGTGTGTCCACACCTCCTTTATTATGGTTATAATCTTCAATCATTTCCGGTTTAGATGTCAATGAATTGATTGCCTCGTCTCTATGCATTGTACTTAATACCAAAACAGTTTTGTTTCTCTTCGGGTAATAAGCCAATAATGTTGTATTATTTGAATGCACAAATTCTGTTGATCCCACCTAGAACATATAATTAACATAAATTAATATTTTGCTTGACAAATTTGAATGATATATTGTGAAAATGTTGCTAGATAAATTATCTAGATTGAAATAATTGAAAATTCAAAAGTTATTAGTTACGCTTCCTAGAGTTATGCAATATAAACATGCAATACATTAGAGATTATATTACATATTATAGTATACTGTCTCATATACAATTGTAATTGGTATTGGTGCTAGCATGAAATTTTCAATTATTGCAAGGTATTAAATATATAATCTAGATAAATTTGTACAATAATTTTGGTGATAAATAAAGTTTATAATAATACCGTTCGCTTCTTATTGCAAATCAAATGCTTTGGTATTTCCTTTTTATTTTTCTTAATTGTACCCAAAATTGTTATATTGTGTTTCAGTAACTCTTCGGCCAATGGATAACTGGTAAACCAGTTATCGCAGGTCACGTTACGTCGAGTTCCTCGCAAAGGTTTAGTCAACTCTAACACAATATTATTAGCCAAATTCTTAGCTCTAATGCCATCCGATGATTTTTTTGTATAAAATATTGCGTCCCAACAGTATGATGTAATTGAATCACAGATGATAAATAATTTTAGACCATATTTAGCGGGTTTGTTGGGCATATATTGCTTAAAACTAACACGCCCTCTAAATGATCGCAACATTTCATCGATTGTGACATATGCGGACAGTTCATAGTTGTTGCGGCAATTATTACGAAAAACATTGAATATACCACTAAATAGCGCTAATTTATCACCACTTTCTTTACGTACATCTCGAGATAAAATGTGATCAAAACATATATGTTGTGTCAAAAATTGAAATCGTCGTAACGGCATTACAGCCCGAAATATATCACGACCACGTCCGTTTGTGTCCCACAAATCACATACATTTTCGTGAGCAGATCGATGAACGCCTATGAGAAGTGATAGTCCAATCCAAGCCATCATTTCTCGATCATTTGTTGGATGACAATAAGTCATATTAGACTTTACTTTATTGGGATCACGATTTCTATTATTAATCTTTTGATTAGTGTTTAATACAATCAGTGTTAACATATCGATAGTTAAGTAGTTTTTAAATGATGTTAAAACATCAATACAATCGGACTCTTTGACTTTAGGACCTTCTCTAAATCGATATATATTATGTTGAAGTGTTTTGGTTGCTGTTGATGTTGAGGGCTGTGAACTGT